CTTCTGACATTTAGTAAAGGTCTCAGTTAAGATCACCTCTTTCGTTCTGGTAATCTTTAATTATAGCAGCACCTTCCAGTTCAGGGCCTGTCAGCGTTTCAGTTATAAACCTATTTTCTTTTTTGGGGGCATTTGACATGGCTGTAAAAATCTAGTCTTGGCAGATATGTGACATACCACATCTCTGTAAGCTATTACATCCAAAATCTGCTTAATAACTTTTCAATACTGTAGTATCACATGATGTTTCATTGGGAAAAGTTAATAGAATATATACATGGCTTGATTTTTCAGTATTATCTCATTTTAATCCATAATTACATAACAAAAGTTTTAAAATATTTTGAATGTGTTATTTTATTTTAAATTCTATACATTTTCAATATTGAGAATAATAGTTCATTTTATTCTACTTTACATGCATTAATTATCCATGTTACACATGCCTATGTACAGACACGAAATAAACAATGAATATGATAAATGCTTCCTCAAATTTGTTTCCAGCTAATTATGAAGGTGGAGGTATTTCCATTTCTGACCTGGGGAGATGCCAGGTAGCTGGAATATGCTGTGTACTCCTCTGCATTTATGGTCTGTTATATTGTTGTCTTAGGATCTGTTTGTCACATCAGAGAGGAGACCTTCCAGGTGCTGAAGGACATAAAACCTCTTCTATCTACCTAAAGCCCTTCACAGTGCAAGGAGGTGGTAGTTTTTCTGTTTAAAACTTGATCTTTCCTTTTTGATGTTTCCCTTTAAAATTACCACCCCTCTCCCTCCACTGCAGTCCCATTTTTATTTAATTCCAGAGTAAAAAATTCATATCATGGTATTTCTCCTATTGCTTCCCTTTTTGTGAAACGATTTAGAAGCATACGTTCCACTGAAAGTCGATGGAAAATCAAATAAAACTTGATATTTCTCTGTGTTGTTTTTTCCTCCTTCCTACTACTACTTCTTCTGACAGCTTAACTCTTTTATTGCGTCTCCTTTTATGAACCCATTATCTTGATTTTTTGAAAGGACTATCACTTGCTACATTTTTATGTTTATTTGTTTTTCAGATAATTGCAATTACTGTTCTGTTGCCTTGTCCCTAGAGTTATCCCTGCTTCATTGTGATGAATCAAAGGCATTGTGTAAACAAATAAAATGTAATATGATATAATACTTTACACTAATGGGTTCTTCTCAGTCTCTCTTCTTAGAAATCCTATCATTCCTATCTTGATTTTGAACAATGGAATGAAGGTAGTTGTTGCTCAGAAGAGTCATTGTCTCTTTTGCGTTAGCCTCATGAATGACATCAAACAAGTATAGAAGTTAGCCTTCACTTCAGTGACAAAGTAACTTGTAATGTTACAGCTAGTCAGTTTCAGACTCAGCAGTCAGAATTTATAATAGATTATTATTCAAAGTTGGGGGTGGATCCAAGGGGGATAAAGGTGGGCAGTCATATGTGTTCCCTTTGCTTCCTGCTCCGCCCAGTTTAAAACCAACTCCCTGGCAGTTGCAGCAGCATTTCTATTCAAGTAGCAGTAAGGGAGTCATTTGACGTTATAGCTCATTATATCCTTCTTAACTCTTTGTTCTACAGGTGTTAATGACTTTCTATCCTTTTTTAATGGTTTTGATTTTTTTTTCTTCCCCCCCTTTTTTTTGTGCAATATTTCTATCTGTTAGCTTTCCCTGATAATGTAGCTTCTTTTTCACATCCCTGTGTTTTAGGCCTCTGTGAAGCGGCAAGTATTGCTTTGGATTCAGCCAATTTGGAGGACAGCTCTGCCCTGCTGCTGCTTGCCCAACTGGCATGGGGCTTGGGGGTGGGAGAGGCACGATGCAGGCATGGCTCACTCTGGGCGGAAGGGGGCAAGCAGCAGCAGGGCACAGCCCCGCTCCCAGCACCGCTGCGCCTGCATCCCGCCTCGCCTCCCACCTGTGCTGGCTGGCAAGGGGCAGCAGGGCAGAGTCCCCACTCCCAGCACAGATGCAGGCACGGCAGCGCTGGGAGTGGGGGCTACGCCCTGCTGCCACCCCTGCACCAGCTGGGCAAGCGGCAGCAGGGCCCCCGCCCCCCCCCCCCCCCCCCCCGGCATTGGCTGGGCAAGCAGCAGCAGGGCACAACCCCAGCTCCAAGCAGTGCCATGCCTGCATCCCAAACCCCCTGTCCCCCTCCCTGAGTAATGCACCCCCCTGCCCTGGCTGAGCAACTTGTCCCAGCCCCAGTCCCTCCCTCCACCACACCCCTTTCCTCCCCAACCCCAAAAGACTTACCAGCTACGGCAGTTGCTTATGTAGTCTATGGCTGAATTGCCAAAACTTTTCCGAATCTTTGTCCAAATTGATTTGGATGCTTCAAATCAATTCAGAACTTTTAATTGGTCTCCCAGTTTGATTTGGATTTGGAGATTTGCTCCCTGAATTGGGCTGAATCTCCTCCAAATCGAATTGGCTACTGAAACTTCACACAGCCCTACTGTTTTTAACTCTAGCTACACCTACTCTGAATGCCTTCAAGAGACATCTGAACGTTTATCTTGCTGGGATCCTATGATCCCTGCTGACTTCCTGCCCCTGGGCAGGGGGCTGGACTCGATGATCTTCCGAGGTCCCTTCCAGCCCTAATGTCTATGAAATCTATGAAATATTAACTGTGGACAGGGCTGTCCTTAGGGGGCACAAATCAGGGCAACCGCCCTGGGCCCCACACTTTGGAGGGGCCCACGGAGTTAGGCAGAGCAGTGGTGGCATGAAGCTGGGCGGAGCAGTGGCACCGTGTCCAGCTACTTGCTACCGTCCCCACTCCTCCACCACTGATGTCGGTCATGCCGATGGTGGCGGCAGCTTCTTCAGGTCTGCAATTGGAGTGGGTGTGGGGCCCCACATGAGCTGATTTGCCCTGGGCCCCACACCCTGCTCAGGTCACTTCTGACTGTGGAAATAACTTTCAATGAAGCACTGGGTACATTGTCGACATGTGCAAGAAGGCTTGATTTTGTTTTATAAATCTGCAAGAAATGTAGATATCATTCTAATGACAACAGAACTAAATGCAAACATTTTTTTGCATAGTTGTTTGTGTTTTATATATAATATGTGATATAGTAAATTAAGGTGTATTCCAATAAAATTATATTTGTTTTTTGCTTGGATCCTAAACTGAATAATATAGCGCTAGGCTCCTAGGATATTGTTAAAGATTCTAGTTTATTTTTACCTGGATAAAAATGTATGCTGTTTTATATGGGATGTTGTACCACACCATCTGTACCCTTTCAAAATTCTAGATCCACCCACGTTCAAAATAATGAACTTGCTCTAACTTGAGCCCACACAATTAATTTAAACCTGCTGCAGCAAATATTTGGTGCTAGCCTATCTGGTATCCATCTCTGCTCTAGCCAGTGTATACAGACTAGGTTGATGCATTCAATGTATAAAGGAATCCTTTTTTTCCTACAACTTCTTTCAACTTCTTTATTGTCTTTTTTGTTAGTTTTTTCTTTCACTCAAGAAAGGAGAGAATAATATGATATTCTGCTTTCTTGAAGCCCTTTAATTGTTCCTTTCATTCCTTTTCCTTTTACTTGCTTTGTCTAAAATCCCTTTGAGAAAATATTTAACAAATATAAATTTAGAAAGAAGAAAGAAACCAAACAAGGTTAATATTTTATTGCTGCTTGGCTTAATTGGTTGGTTTTAAAGAGGTTTACTCTTTATTTTTGTATATTGGTTTTCTAAGAAACAAATCTTGGTTTTTTATTTTTGATAACATGCTGAGGCCCCAAATTGCTGAAAAATTAATGTAAAAGACTTTCATTAAGATGCGGGCCCTCTCCTTTTTTCTTCTGCTGATAACATTCATGTATTTGACCTTCATCAGGGAAGGACATTTATCACCAGCGCCATCTAACCATCTGTTAGTATACTTGTCCTCTGCTGTACATGTTCTTGTAAACTGAAGTATCATGGATCACTTTAGGCTTAAAACCAAGTAAACAGTTATGAAGGGTGTTGATGATAACTCAAGGACTCATACACAACAGAGTGTTGCAGTTTCTGATATGGTTAAAGCAGGAACCACAAATCACTCTTAACAGTGTGAGGTAGTTAGACATGTTAGTTTGAAATCAGGCAGAAGGTTGTGCATCTCTGCTTTTAGTCTATAATGTGCATCTCTATCCTGCCTTCTTCTCAATAGTTTTTCACAGTTCATTCCAATGACACTGGCCTCTTCTTGTTTGCACCATAGTGCAAATCTCTGTGCAGTGTGCTCTTGCGCAAGATGGACAGTGCTTTAGCAAAGGCTATCTGTTAAGGATGGGAATTTATGCACTGGCAGTGGGGTCCAACTGAACTTTCGGGTTATGACTTCGGGGATTTGAAAAAGAAGGCATTTTAGCTTTGCAGACTGGCCTCCTTTGTACAGAGTACAGGCCCTCTCAGAGGTCGAGAGAAGCCCGGTCCACTTCCATTTTTTGAGGCTCAAAATACAATGCAAAAATTTGTAATAAATGTTCCTTTTTTATTTAACAAGTGCTTTTCTAGCTTTTTTCTTCTTCTTTCAATCCTGTCAGTGTATCTCTGTGTCTGTATGCATAACCTCATTTGGAGATAACGTCAAAAGTCTAAATTTGAGGCCCTCCATGAATGAGAGGCCTGGGCCAAATGGCCCTCCTGCCCCCAACCCCCCCACCCCGATAGGCCCTGGCAGAGTAAAGTTATTGTAGGCTATTGCTGTCACTCTCTGTTGACTTACATTTTAACTGTTTGCCATGGGTACCTACGGCCTGTGGTACCCATTGTTTTCTATGTTGAGAGTTTTTATGCACAGAGTAAAAGTTTGGTCATATAAGCATTTTGTTTCATTGTTACTTAAGATGCGTTGATTTATTAATGATACATTTGTAAACCTAGGTGTAGCATTCAGGCTGTCACCAACAGCACATCTCTGATTTATAAAAGACTAATTCTGTTCTGTTCTTTCAAATCCCCAGCACTGATGGCTATTGTTTCACCATAATAGAAGAAGATGAGGCTGGTGGGCATTTAATCACCAAGGGATGTCTAGGACTAGAGGGCTCAGACTTCCAGTGCCGGGTAAGAAAGTTTTTATGATCAAAATTTGGTCTAACCACTGTGCTAGCTTCCAGTTAACTCGAGTGCTGTCAGAAAGAATGACTACATCAACAACTTTGATTTTTGTTCATTGGGGAAATGGGTCCTTTGCACTGACTGGCTGAGGGTATGCCATTTGTATACCAAATTACTCATGTACAGGACCTTGCATTGCTAGGTAAGTTAGCGAGAGTCAAACCTTAGTGTCCTGATGAAATTGTAATATGCATTAATACATTCTCCTTCTCTGAGTTCATCCTGCAGTTAAAATTATATAGGGCATTTTTAATTTCCTCCCTTAGACTGCTGTATCGTGTATACTTGTTATTCTCTCCCCCGACCCCTGCCCAGGCTGTAACACATTACTGATGAGCAGCTGAGTCCTGCATATTTAGACAGCAAAAGTTATGACTCTCCCTGGCTGAAGAAGTTATTCTGTATAGAAATACATCAGATTCCATTTTCTGTACTGCAATAAACTCTTCATCCTGCACAACAATTCTCTTTTATGCTTGGATGTTTAAAGCAAAGACATCTCTAGAAGCTAAGTCCTCAGCTGTGATAGGAGGATGGCAGTCAGGGCAGCAAATGAAATAGAGAGGTCTCTCAAGGTATGTCTGTAATGCTGCAGTATAATACAGAGATGCCTGAGGTAGCTTTAAAAGCTGCTTATACATGTCCTCAGGGTTTTAAGTAGAGCAGTTCCTGGAGAGCCAGTCTAATTAAAACACCTCACCATCATGTATATTAAGCCCCTTCCCCTTGCAATAATGGCCATGGGGTGCTTTATCTAAACCTCATTCTATGAGGTTTAGATAAAGCACACCTGTGACTATTTTAAAATGCTCAGAGGCTCAATACACATGATGGTGAGGCCATACTGGGTCATTCTAATTAGAACGTGGAACAGACTCAATTAATCGAGCTTACTCTGACACATTCTAAAATAGAACATGAACCAGCACATGTATAGGCAACCAAAGAGACTAGCTCAGGTAGTGGAAGCAGTTTAGCCAAAGCAATATGTGAAGCTTACAGCCAAACTGCTTCTCATACTCAAACTAGATCTTTTAAAGATATCTTAGGTATTCTGACCTGCATTGCAGCCTGCAATGTAGACATCTTCTTTCTGCTCCCATTCACAAATCTACAGCCTGCAGACCAAATTAGAGCAACCCAAAGGTTGTTCAAATCAAACCAGTTTATAATAAACCCCCTAGGAGCCATTATACCAGTAAATGTCACCAAAGGCCTCTCCAACTCTGCTTCCTGTCATGCCCTTCAGAATCTCCTTTTATTGGTGGGGATTCCTTTATACCAAATGCTCCAATGCCAAGAACTTTCTAAGAAAATGAGGTTCCCAGATCCATTCTAAAGGCATGGCCAGATTTTCTGAAGTACCCAGTACCAACAGCAATCTACTGTGACTTGATTCACTTACTTCTTTGGAAATATTGTCCTGCAGGGTAAATTTCTGGGTGCTTTGCACTGGATGTGGAAAATAATGCTTGTATAATCACTCACACACACAGCTTTCTGATTTGGCTAGGACCTAATACTTTATATAATAACAGTTGCTGCAGTGGAAATGTATAAAGGATTAAATTGTCTCTTAATGTTTAACTCCAGTGATTTGTGGATTTATTAGGATGGCACAAATCATTACTGCTGTCACATTTGAGGCGCTGCTCCTGTATACCATGCAGATCTATTTGCTTCTCAAGTTCTGAAAGTGCTCAGTTTTGTGAATTCTTTTATTGCAGGATACTCCTATATCGCACCAAAGAAGATCTATTGAATGTTGCACGGGCCAAGATTACTGTAACAAACACCTTCACCCTACATTGCCTCCACTGAAAAACCGAGGTAAGTGGAGGAGGTAAATCCAGCCTGGAACTCGTACTTTTTTTTTCCCTAGAAAACCCAAAGTAAAGAGAATTGGAAGAACTGCATAAAAGTTCTGTTTAACTGCTCCTGATATTTAGTATTATTTGTATTGTTGAGTCAAAGGGAGTCCCACTGGTGCTGTACAGGCCTGTAGTGAAATAATAAATCCTATCCCAAAAAGCTCTCAATCCATGTTAGGCAGGGGCAGAAAATGTCTGGCTAAATTTGTGCAGAGCCTTAACCTTATTAGGGCCTCTCTTTGCAACTTCCATACTAATGTTAAATGATGGTGATGACAATAATGATAATGGTAATGATAATGAATCGCCTCTGCTATTACAAATGACTGTAGTCTGTAGCTGCATAATAGTTCAAGTATGACACTCAGCAGTTTCATTTTTTTTTCTATGGGATTCTTCACAGAAGGGATATTGGACTGAGACACATAGAGGGCAATAGATAAAGTAAATAGTTCACAATTGACTGGTGAACCATAAAAGCAATGCAACCTCATAACATTCTGACTCCAAGTATAATAGTTTTATGTGATTTTGTTGGTCTCTAGTAAAAGAAAAATGGTTATTAGAGAGAGAGAATCTTAAGTGCAGATTATTCAGGCTGGATTAGTATATGCAATAATATTATTTTAATTCAGAAAATAAATCCATTTCCCCTACAGCTTGTTGAGATAACTCTGCAGAGTTGAAATGAAGTGATCTTTGCCTAACTCTTCCCTTTCTTCTGTCTTCCAAAGAATTTTCCTTTCTATCCTAAACATTTTGGACTAAATTCCACATGAAGGCAAACATTTCACAAAAAGTCATTCAGATCTCTAGATTTGTGCACATAAGATGAATTGGCCTAGAAAAGCAGTTTCCAACTTGGTGCCTGCGGGTGCCATGGCACCTCCCAAGGTTTATTCAGGTGCCCATGCACATTTTCATGATCAGTAAAAATCATTATTCCAACAAAAAATGCTGTCATACTGGCACCCGCTGGTTTTTCTTTTCAATTCGAATGTGTCCTTGGGCACATAAACATTGGGAACCACTGGCCTAGAAAAACCCAGCAGCTAGAGTTCTGCCTGTGCTATCTGCTGCTTATGCAAAAATAGCCCACCAAAACAAGTTTTTATTAATGTCAAAACATATTTGCTTTTTTATTTGTTTGCTTTTAGGAGGGGAGAGTGCAGAGGAAGAAGGGAATGGTATTTAGATACCAAGTGACAGCTACATAAGATAAATTGACCAAATAACAAAGAAAATATCTGTTGAATAAATGATATAACTAAATAAAGTTTAAACAGCATTTCCGCTGCTGGGGTACTCCCAGAATTATTATTTGACAAACAAAAGGTGATATAACAAAATCTTGAAGAACACAACAGTTATAATGTGGTTTTCAGCACTGCACTTCAAGAAAGATGCGGATAAGTTCGAGAGGGTGCAGAGAAGGGCCACTCATATGATTAGGGGCCTGGAGGATAGGCCTCATGAGGAGAGACTCCAGGAGCTGGGCTTGTTCAGTCTGAGTAAGACGAGGCTGTGAGATGACTTGATAGCTGCCTACAAATATGTCAGGGGACAACATCAGGATCTGGGGGAGCAACTCTTCAGGAAGGCACCCCTTGGGAGGACAAGGACCACTGGGCACAAACTAATAGAGGGAAGATTTAAACTGGACATAAGGAAGAACTTCTTCTCCGTAAGGGTAACGAGAACCTAGAACACACTCCCGGCAGAGGTGGTGTGGTCACCATCCTTAGGGGTGTTCAAGAGGAAGCTGGACAAGCACTTCCTTGAGCTAGTTTGAGCTCATTAACCTCCTGCCTATGGCATGGGATTGGACTTGATGAGCTTACAGGTCTCTTCTGGTCTATGATTCTATATTCATTTAAGACTTTCTTTGAAAAATACATCATCTGGCACTAAGTTAAGGCAGAAAATTGTGGGTGTAAGTTTAGAGACTGCCTTAGAAAATGTAGTTATCTGGGACTTGTGTACAATTGTTTGGCAATTCTGAAGTCAGCACCTTTATAAAAGTTGCATGCTAATATGGTCAGTTGGAATTCTTGGTGCCAGTGACTGGTAGAACTTTCTATTGCCCCATCACAATCTCAGCACTGGGTAGTAATTTAGACAGTTAATCCTCCCAGTAGCCTTATATAAAATTGTTTAGTTGGTATAACTACTGAGGAGTGCTGTGTTTATAACCATTCTTCCTGTCTGGGATTTCTGTTTAGTATATGATACAGTGAATGCTCTGAAAATTGTTATTAGGCCTTAATATAAATAATGATGTTAAAAAAAATAAATTAAAGATGGACTTGTAGAAACAAAGCCCCATTGGATTACATACAAAAAGAATGGATGTTGTTTTGCATTTGAAAAGAAACAAAAAAGTTTGATTCTGATCAGGAACTTATAACCAAGGTCATATCTCAGGGGAACATTGGGTCTAGCAAGGTCTTCCAACTGCGGGTCAAAGGTTGCTGAACTACAAATTAACACATGCACAGAAACAACATCTACAAATGCATGCAGTGTGTGTTCTGAAAGTGTATTTCCAGGCTTAGCATTTACTGGATGGAGTTGTCTCTTTTTACCACGAAAAGAAATGAAGCACGATGTACATAAAAGTATCAGATGGAAGAATTAACATTAGTCAGGCAGGAAGGTAAAACACAACAGCAGCTAAACCTATTTCTGGGTAGTGTTAGAATACATTCTACTGAAGTAGAAGTAGAATATAGGACCTTGGAGATAACATGTTGTCCTCTTGGCAGTCATGCATCTGCCTTATTAAGGAAATGAGAATACTAATCAAGTCTGATACAACACCTCTATTTTGAACAATAAAACTTATTACTGGAAATCCCAGCAAAAGTGCAGGCTGAAAGCAGTTAAGAGAAGAAATATGTCTTTACTGATTTAAAGCCTTTATAAGCAGAAGTGGTGGTGCCACCATGTCTGGCTCCCTGCCTGTACAGCTAGTGATGAATGGGCAAGGGAATGATTGGAGGAATGATGGGGTTTGATATTTGCACACAGTTTCCAAGCCTTGGATTTTACTGCAGTTTTTACCAGGGATAATCTGAACACTGTGCAGTGGAGGAAATTGGGGAGTGATGGGACTCTTCCCATCTTTTTTATATGCTGACACTAACTTGAACTCACTGTGGTGAGTTTTAAAGGCACATTTCAGCAGAGCACCATACATTACAGGGTGAGTTGAGCAACTTATGGGGGTCAGAAAAGCACCAGAACTATTGGAAAAGTTTTTTCTGAGGCACTTTTTTTCTGCTTTCTTTCATTATCATCTTTCCCTCCCTGTACTGAAGACAACAGTGACACCTGTGTGTGGTGCCTATAAATAGCATCACTGTGTTGGTCGTACAAAGTAGAATCTTTGCATTTGAGTTGCTAGATGATGGCTAATGTCCACTTTTAACCAGAGTATATAAAGGAGCTTCACTAACCAGCTGCTAATTTATTTTGTATCCCACAGTTAATAACTCACTGTGGTGTCCTCAAACTTTTCTGCTTATTTTTATAACCTCACTGCTTGGCATAACTGTAGTTACCAAGTAACAAAACATTAGAAAACAAAGCACAGGCTCTCTGCTAACTGGCACCCTTTACAGTCACACCAATGACTGAGCGATCTTGAGGACTGAACTAGCCTGCTCCTCTGCCACCCCTAGAGAACAGCCTTACCAGGTTAGAACTGAGGGAGAGGAGGTAGAGGGAAAAGTTTTCACTACTGCTCTGTGTGTGGTTTCTACTCTGTAGATGGATAGAGGACTTAATTGCCCAGGAATGTTGGCACCATTCCTTTGACTTCACAGACATTAAAAAGTTGGGAAATCAGGCTGCATTTCTTTATATTTTGTTGATCATCCATCAGATAGTTTACAAAGCTTCAACCTAAGCAAATGAAATCCGTCCAGGATAATTAGAAGCATGGGCTGATGATGGCTCAGTTGTTGTCCCACCAACATTATTGCTTTACAAAAGGGCTTAAGAAAGATGTCTGCTACCTTGCTATAGTAGTAGGGCCCACTTCCTAACCACTGTGCATATAGGAAGTCATTAATAAAGCGATGTGATGTCCCAAGACACAGCCTAATCCTTCAGAAAGGTGGGGGAGGGTGTGTCTAACAAGAAGCACCAAATAATAAGCATCCAGATTTCGAGAGGTGCACAGTACTTAGAGGCCTGCTGACTGCTGTACACATTCTGGCACAATTAGTGCTTGTGCAAATCTGGCCACTTATATATAGGGACCTAAATAGGAATGTTAAGATCCTGAACTTCAGCTACCCAAGTTTAAAAATATTTGCCACAATATATAGAATTCTAGACACTGTTCTTGGAAGAATTATCTTTGGAGTTATTTAAAAATACCGTGGTTTATACAGTTCTTTAAACAAGCATGCACGCGCACACACACACTAAAGAATACCAAAGGGCAGGGAGCCCTAATTGTCAACTTGCAAGTTTCTCATGGGTGTAATTTCATTGACTTCTATCAGAGTTACTGTGTATGAATTATGCTAGCCCAGGAGCCAAGGTCAGAATTGAGTTTCCTATATGCAGCATGCAGTGCTCATTGTGTTTAGCATCTGCAAAAACTGCCAGTCCAACTTCTGTTGTCAAATGTTCTATGAAATTGGATCCCTTGCTGTGAGCAAATCTCCCTGTTCTCCAGAGTATAAAAAATACTCCCTCTATGATCTGCATGCTCTATTTATCCTCTCATGGGCTGATAGGCTGTGACATCTTAAACTGTTACAAACCACACATTTTAGAGGGAAATGACTGGCAGACCTAGACTGCTTATACACCAGGAAATAGAGCCTTTTGCCTCCCTGAACAACCACCTCCTTGACAGAGAGGACTGAGCTCCCTAGTGAGTTCTCTTTTTCAGCTCCCATCACACTTGGAGTGACAGCCCAGGTAGAAATCTGCTGCTATGGTGAGAATGATGTGCTCTAGTGTTTTCCTGATAGGCATCATGTCAGTGTCTCCTTTCAAAGGCAATGGCCATGTCTTGAATGTTTACATTGTCAATGCTCCAAGAGCAGGTAATGGCAGGTTAAAACATGACCAATATGATCAAAAGGCATATTGGTAGGTAATCTCTGTTCCTGTTAGAAAGGAGAAGAAAAGAAATAGTTGGGGGCAAAAATAAGAAAAGGAATCAGATCTTTAAAATAAAAGTGCCTGACAGTAAGTCAAGAGTCCCATAGGAACCTCCTTGTCTCATTACCCTAGTAAATCTGAAATGTAATAGTGCTATTCCAGGATGAGTCGATAAGGATAGAGTTCTTGCAGTTTACTGCATGTTCAGCAAGACAATCAGTCTGAGAGGGCTTCAGAAAACCTCATCCTAATCTGCATTACAATGAGCACCAACATAGGGAGGGGGAGCATGTGAATGAAGTAGCATCATTTTGAGGTGATGTAGTTTTAAAGGAGGATGGGACAATACTTGTCCAGTTTTTTGCATGAAAATATGCACAAACACACATTTGAAACAGGAATACAAATTTGGAGGTTATAGTTAAGTTTTAGAACAGAATATATGATTAATGCAGAATTAATTTGAATGCTTCAGGCACTTTCACATCATCTAATTTCTAACCAGTTGTTTTACATGTTGCACTTTCAGAGAGTTTTTGAAGGGCAGTTTGGTATGGTATGGATATTTTTAGCCATAAATGTAAGATTTTATCATTTTCACCCAATATACAGAACAAAGCAGGAGGGAGGGAAGGAATTGCTGAAGTGTTCTAACAGAGAGGCAGAGAGAGACAAAGAGGCAGAAGACCTTAAATTGTTGTAAATATGACTAACATTTTTCAATATATACCTTAGCAAGGTAAAATGCAAGCCATTATGTCTCCTCTGTTAGCATGAATACAGTCATGCTTCTCTTCTGTTTTAAGTGAGTGACATAACAGTAACATAGAAGTGAATTAAGATAAAGGGATCTCAGATCTGATGTCTGTCCTGGTTGACAAGATATGTAAGATACAAGACTGCAGGTGCTATGGGTTTTTTCTGATTTTTTCATTAAGGGCCAAATATAACACTACAAACACAGTCAAGAGCTCCATTGTTACCATAAGAGTGCTGCCTGAATGAGAACTGCAGAATCGGAGAGTTCTCAAGCAATGCAAAAGGCCAAAGAACAAGCACATAAAATGGCTCTGAAATCCAGGGCGGTGTTTTACAATAATCTTCAAAAAAGAGAAAGGAAACAGTTTTATAATATATCTATGAATTCTTGTGTGCTGTCTTACATGTGAAACTGGACTCAGAGAGGCAGATTACAGGTTAGATCTGACCCTAGTGTTAAAGATCTCTGAGGAATTCTAGCATAGTGGTGACTTCTAAGGCAAAAATAAAGTCATTTTACAGTGGCTTAATAAAAAAAAAAATACTATTTCAGATTTTGTTGAAGGGAACATTCACCATAAAGCCTTGCTGATCTCTGTGACTGTGTGCAGTATACTCCTGGTGCTGATCATCATATTCTGCTACTTCAGGTAAGTTAAGTCAGCAATATTGAAGAGTTGTATGCTGCACATTTGTTCCTAATATCACTTCTGTCTCTCCCCTAAGAGTCCCCCTTCCCCCCATTACAAACAAAAGTTGGTTTTTTTTTTAAAGGGAAGTAGTTTTGGAAAGATGTAATTAAAACAAAACTGTGATTCAGTTAGAGAAGAGAAAGGTATATATCCATATTGGTCTTCAGTAAGGTAAAAGGCAGGGTGGATTTGCACCTTGTAGACTAACTAAATCAATACATAAAAGAAGCTTTCGTACACAGTGGACGATGCATCTCATGTAATTTATGTTATCTCATGATGAAGTAAGCCTGCTGTTTAAAACAGCTTATGCTATGCATCTACTCAAGTACAAGATGACCCCTCCCCAATAATTGGACATTCTATGTGGAAAATTTATAAATTTGTTATAATTTTCCAGAAATAGAATCTAATTATTGGAGGTTTGCTTTGAATTTACCCCGCTCCCACTGCTACAGCAGGGAAAATAAATCGGAGGCATCTTGCCCTCTTCCCTAACCCTAACCCCTTCCCCCCTCCTTACTGTCAGACCCTGCTCTTCCTAAGCACATGGAAGTGAGAAGCAAATTTGAAAATGCTAACTTCAAAATAAATGGATCTGTGGTAATTTGCATATAGTACCAATAGACGTAATTCATGAAGAAATGATGCATCATACCTTTTTTTGAAACTGCTGCAAGTTTTAGCACAAGCACTCAATAAGCACACCTTTAATCAGCACTTTTGTATTTACTTATGTACAGTACAAAGTTCTCAAATTTTTCAAGGCCAAATAAGTTCCAAATTCTGTTGGGCAAAGCCCAATAGTCAGGTTCCAAAATTTGACTGAACAGAGCTCAGTTGTCAAGTCTGTGTGCCTCTACCACTGGGCAAATATCTTCCATCCCGGACCCATCAGTCTAGGATTCTGCATACTCCCAAAATCCAGGCAGGCATCCTGTATGAAAGGCCCTGGGGTTTAGACCCCGCCCCCCGGGGGTCTCCTTGTCTCCAAAAGGCTGTGAAATAAACAACCTTTTTCCCCCTTTCAAGGGCTGAATCAGTTCCAAATTCTGTTTGGCAAAACCTAATAGTCAAGTTCCAAGTTTTGACTGAACAGAGCTCAATCATTCAAGTCTGTGTGGCTCTACCTCTGGGCAAGTATCTTCCTTCTCAGACCAATCAGTCTGAGGCTTCAGATACTTCCCAAATCTGTCACAGACATCCTTCATGTAAACACAGGGCCCAGGGACCCTGCAGTATGGTTAACCCCTTGTCTCGCTTGCTAGGGGGAAGCAAGAAAGCAGTTCTCCATTGCCACAAAATTGTGCAGCTGAGTTTCCTGCATTTGGGGAAACTCACAGGGGTCAGCCTGTCCAGAGTGTAAGGGACAGGCCTCACTGTACTATACTTGGTCATACCCAGGTCAATTCCAAATCCTTTGAATCGTTCAAGAACCATATGTATCCCTACTACCAGAAAGTATCCTCCACGCCAGACTTCTCAGCCTGGGACTTTGGATACTTCCATATCTTTTGGCAGGCATCCTGTGTCCAGGCCCAAGCCCGGAGACTTGGGGTTTGGATGCCCCCAGGTTTCACTTGCCCTCAGCCATATTGCTGCAGGAGCAAGGTAGAGAGGAATCTCCCATTTCCATAAAGTTGGCATGTAGCCGAGATCCTCCTACTGGAAGCTGGCCAGTGGGAAGCTAACTGTAGGGAATCCTGTCCACAAGCAGTCAAGGGTGCACCCTCCACTACAGAGTGCCATTTTAATTTCACTATTTTGGTCATGGTATTTCCCTGCCACTGTGCTTGATAGTAGTCCAAAGCCAAAAATCTCATGGTTTACCATATTGTTCATTGGGCTGGGCCTCAGCAGAAACAACAGCATTTCAAGCAATGGTGACCCTGTAGTTCAGCATTGCTCAGTTTGTGTATGTACTCCATATATCCTCCACCACCCACAAAAGATTCACGTGCTAATTAGGCCCTCACTCATGACTGGAACTGCGTGCTATTGTCACAAGTCCTGGAATCCTCAAAATGTTTGGATGAAGATGAGGTGCACAGCAACCAGCTGAAAAGTCTGGGTTGGGGGATACTTGCTGGTAGTAGGGCCACATATGGTTTTTGAATGATTCAAAGGATTTGGAGCTGATCTGGCTAATTTGACCTGGTACATGGAAATTTAAAAAAGATATGTTCCTTTTTAAGGACAAGCAACTCTAGGGGGTATCGGGGGGGGGGGGGGGGGGGGGGGGAGGAGGATAGGGGGTATCTAAACTCCAAGGCCTCTAGGCTTGGAGCTTGCTCTTGGGGTGTCTGCCATGGATTTGGGAGTATCTGAAGCCCCAGACTGATGAGTCTGGGAGGTAGGATATCTGCTGGTGGTAGCACCACACAGACTCAAATGAATGAGCTCTGCTTAGTCAAAAGAATTCAGAACTGATTTGGCTGAGTTGGCCTGAGACATGAAATTTCAAAAAACAGCAACACTTTACTTGGTGCAAGAGATCCCATGATCCTCTCAGCTGATCAAGTGTAGAGTGAAGCCTGCCCTTGCACTCTGGGCAGACTAATTCCTGCATGCTTCCCTGATTTTGTGGTAATTTGGGACTAAGTTCTTGCTTTCCCTGAGATGTTTGCTCCTCAGCCTTTTGACTTGGAGTAAGCAACATTAAGGGGCATTCAAACTCCAAGGCCTCCAGGCTTGAGGCTTGCACATAGGATGCCTGCCTGGATTTTGGGGAGCATCCAAAGCCCCAGACAGATGGGTCTGGGAGGGGGGTTGTTTGCCCAATGGTAGAACCACACAGACTTGAATGATTGTGGTCGGTTCAGTCAAAACTTGGAACTTTAATATTCGGCTTTGACCAATAGCATTCAGAACTGATTTGGCCCTTGAAACAAAATTTTTAAAAAATCAGCATGTTTACCCAATATGGACTTTAGAGTCATGCTCTGTGTTGGCTTTGTTTAATCAACTTTATAGTCCGTTTCCATTACTGAGCATATGCTGCTTTTGGCAGCAGTTTAATGATAAACAATGTATTTAGTGAGGTTTCCTTGTATGTGAATGTAAGACTAGGGGTTTTTTCCTCCATGCTGATTGGAGGGAACCTTGCCTTGTATTTCAGTTAGTCAAATACAAAAAAGTAGCTAGTCTACATCTTTTGCTCATGGTAAAATCACAGAGATATTATTATGCTGTTTAACACAACTTTCATTCATATATTTTTCATGAAAAGTATATCATTAAAAAGTTCTTCACTGGGAAATAGAATAATAGATTATGAAAACAGATAGGAACAGTAGTGCAAAGACTTTGTATAGTAAATAAATATAAGCTTCTAAGTAGGCCTGTGCAAAGCAGCAAGTATTCACTTCGGATTCGGCTGATTCGGCAGGACAGTGATTTGATTTGGTGATTTGAATCACTGTCCTGATTTGATTTAGCCAGTTCAGATCCAAAGATTTGGCGCCAATTTGGAAATTTGACCATACACTAAATAGGCAGCAGTCTTCACCACGTTGGACACAGCTGCCTTCAGCTGGTAAGCCTGCTGTGGTGGGCAGGGGGGAGGGAAGGGGACAGATCAGCACTCCCATAGTGAGGCAGGGATTGGGTTTGGGGCTGGGTCAAGCTGCCCGGGGGGGGGGGGCGGTGCGCGGGGTTCTGGGGAGTGGGGCTCCTGCCACTGCACACCACCCCGTGCCACTAGTCTGTGAGGGCATGGGAGAGGGAGTGTGCTCCCAGATATTCGTGGAGCAGGCTGGGCTGGGCTGCACTCTAGATAGGTGGCAGAAGATGCTGGGAGTGGGGTCTATGTCCTCCTGCCACTTGCGCAGCCTCCCCGCGCCTCCTGGAAATGCTGTGGTTTCACCCCAGGTGGGTGAGCAGCAGGAGGGCATGGCAGCGGGCATGTGCACCCGGATCAGGGTGGGGCCAGTGGCAGGGGCTATGGGGAATTTTAGGGAGGCTGCAGCCCCCCCGATAGACCCTGCTCTTCTGGACTCTGTGGGGCAGGCGGAGCCAGGCCTGTGCTCCAGGTTGCAGCTGGGGCCAGCCTGGCGGCAGGCGGCTGGGACTAGTCTCCTGCAGTGCAACCTGGCTCAGCCCGCCCTTTGCACATCCGGGGGCACACACCCGCTCCCATGCCCTCCCAGATCAGCAGCATGCAGTGGCAGAAGCCCCCCTCCCCAAGTCCTCCTCCCCCTGCCCTCGCTGTGCAGTTTGTCTCAGTCCCATCCCCAATCCCTCCCTCGCTATGGGGACATTAATCTGTCCCCACCCCCACCATGTCCCTTCCTCCCTCCCTCCTCTGCCCACCACAACTGACTGGAGGCAGCTGTGTCCAGTGTGGTGAGGACTGCTGCCTGTTTAGTCTATGACTGAATGTCTGAATTGGCACTGAATCTTTTCCAAATTGATTTGGAGGCTTCCGATTTGATTCGGACTTTTTAATTGGTCTCCTGATTCAATTTGAATTCAGAGATTCAGCCACTGAATCAGGCCAGAATTCCTCCAAATCGATTCAACTACTGAAGCTTTGCACAGCTCTATTTCTAAGCCTCTTAACACAATGCAGGCTTGTACATAACCTCATAAACTGAATCCAAAAGGGAGAGAGATTCAGAAATGCAGGTAAATATGTATGGGACATATGATTCTTGAATGATTATTCACAAATGATTATTAAATAATTATTGAAATCTTAAAATAACACAAATCTCAGTGTCTTTTTCATCATAAGAGACCATCATATCCATTACCAAAATGTCAAGTTTCTTTTTTTAAGCGCTATTCTTTGAATGAAAACTTTAATATAGCTATGAATAAATAAACTGTGGCTTCCAGAGCCCATTTTTCTTTTTCTTTTTACTCATGTGGTGTTCTGACACTAAAAATTGAACAGTATAGTATGCTGAAAATGGATCAGAAAATAAAAGATAATAAATATAGAATATTCTTCTAGTAGATGCTACAAATTCGTATAGGACTGGCATGTTACTGGCATTTTCTACACAGCGTGTCTTATCCATTGTACTGTCAACTAATGTAGTATTCATCTGAAATGTTAGGTACAGAAGACAAGAAACGAGACCTCGTTATAGCATTGGACTTGAACAGGATGAGACTTACATTCCTCCAGGAGAATCCTTGAAAGACTTGATTGAACAGTCTCAGAGCTCAGGGAGTGGTTCTGGGCTCCCTCTGCTGGTAAGAAAGGAATATTATTTAGATACTAACAACACTGAGATAAAGACAGCAATATAGATAAACCAGGGAATAATTGCTGAAGGCGAAATTGGACCCTGTATGTCTTTTTTGGCAGAGATGACAAGGGTATCAGTTGGAAAATCAGAGCTCTTTCTTTCATGCTCAGTAGAGGGTTTGATTTTGATCTGACATACAGCAGTGCAAATACAGAATAACTGACTTACATGGAATTCATATGGATTTAATACAGTGTAAATGAGATCAGAATCTGGTGCAGAATTTCTGTTGCAGTACCTTCTATATGCAACATATTAGCACAGTTTAAACACTGCTATATTATTTTTATGAAAGGAGGATTGTGGAACTGTTAAACGTGGAACTTTTATACACCGGTGTGTTACTTTATATTAACAAGCTAAGAGCAGCATCCTTCACTTCACTTTGCTCTGGCCTTATAGGTTGAATGCACATCAATGGAATACAGTGTACCATCATTTCTGAGTTGTATCACAAGTAGCTGTGGCTGAGACCCAAACACTTGTATATTAGGGGAGACTTTTTCCATTAGAAGGTTTATATTTCAGAGCAAAAGCATGGCTTTTCTGTTTATCTGAGTTTGGGTTTTTTTAATAGTTTTACCTTCCTACCTTGGAGGTCCTGGACTTCATGGCACCACAGAGACTCACAATTAGTTATTTTAGATACTGCCTCTGAAAGCTATTATTTCCTTAGCATTTTCCTTATATATGGCCAATAGGTTGTATATCCTTCATATCTACTGGCATATCCCACAGTTTCCCCCATTGCCATACTGTTTGAGCAGCTTCCAAGAACATAAAACAGACTTAAGAGGACATCACTTGATTAGTCTCCTAATGAATCGAAATTTGAAGGAGTTTAGAGTTCATCCTGATCAACTAACATGGATTTTAAACAGCGCATGCCAGTACACATGTGGGGAGGCTGCTCCGACATGCTGTGATTACATGCACTGCAATTAATCGAGTCTGCTGGAGCATGGTAATTAGCACGGCCTCCAGCAGCCTCCACATCTCATGTATCCGCGTCCCCACACTGAAAAATTGCTGCTGGGGCACTTGAACTAAAGCTCATTTGACAAGCTTTAGTTCAAGCACCTCCGCCACCATTTTGAAATGTGGAGATGCCTTTATATGAGACACTGTGGGTGCTTTAATTAGCACCTTCACCCTTGGAGCATGTGTAAAAATCCCCAGTGTGCCCTGACCAGGGTAAATATAATCATGACGTTTAAAATGTGGTAGCAAACAGGTATATCTTAATAGCTGTAGCCCCAGACCAGTAACAAATGTGTACAACAACAAAATGGTAAAACTCTGTTTTCAGCTTCTTTATTATTTATTTCCCAAATAAAAAAATAAAGCTGATGCTTCAGGAAAAAATGAACCTTAGTTTCATTTTGCAAAACTTATAAAATGTCAATTTATGATAAACAATACCATCTGTCTTCAGCAGCCCATTTATTATATTGGATAAAAATATTGCAACAAATCTAAACCTTAAGCAAGATACTATCCCTTATCTGTTACTGAACAATGCCAATTTCCTGTTTTATAATAATATCATAGCCCTCAGTCAAGCTCATATATTTAAGGTGATATAAATAGTGCCACTATGGGTTTCTGGCTTCTTTTTTTCTCCCAGAAGTTTGAATCTCTCTCACGCACAAGTTAGGCCAGGGATGGGCAGTTATTTCAGCTGCAGGGCTACTCATGGAGTTTTGGTGAGATGTTGAGGGAAGGGGGGTTGCTGAACAGCTTCGGCCTCTTGTCACAGTTGTTTACCCTGCCTGGTGGGGTGGGGGGCGGGGAGACGCCAATTGATCCTATCCAGTCCCATCCATCCTGCACCCACTGCTGGGGTGCTGGATAGAGTGGACGGGATCTCCATGGAGACCAGCCCAGGACCATCATGTGCAGGGTGCACTCAACCAGGTAGATGGGATGGGGCGCTGGACAGAGGAGGAAGAAGTGTCCAGGAGTAGGATGGGTGACCAGGGCTGAGATCACAAGGTGGTGGCAGCATGGGGCTGGGGCTGAGGGCAGAGCTGCAAGCTGCTCCCCACGTGTCCCTGTGATGGGCACCAGTTCTGCAGGCAGCAGCCAGCCCCTGCCCACAGAACAGGTGCCCATCACAGGGACATGCAGGGAGCTGACTGGGGCTCTGCCTCAGGCTCCGGCCCCACACTATCATCACCCCACGATCCTGTCCTTGGCCCTGTCCCTGCCCACCCATTCTGCTCCTGAATGCTGCTCCCCGCCTGCTTGTGGCCCCATCCTATCTGCCTCCACTGAGTGTGCCCCATCTGCGGGGGCCCTGGGCTGGTCTCCGTGGAGACCCTGCCCACCTGCTCCATCCAGCATCACTGCAGGGGCTACTGGGAAGCTGAGTCTGGCTGCTGCATCACCCTGCCCTGCTGCCACACCACACACCCAGCAGACTGCAGCTCCCGGTGTGTCTGAGAGCTGCATGTAGAGAAGGCTGTGCTCCACACCAGGTGGCACCTCAGCTGCAGGCTGTCCCATGCCTGGGCCAGGCTGGGCTGAGGAGCCCACCATGGGCTGCATAAAATCACTTGGGAGGCTGGATCCAGCCTGAGGGCTGTACTTTGCCTACCCCTAAGCTCAGCAGAAGACAGGGTAGAGGTGCATCCCGTGTACCACCTGAGATGCATCACAGTTAGTGAAAGGTTAAATGTTGTCAGTCAAATATTAATTCCCAAAGCATTTTCTGAACTTTTAAGTAAAGGCTTTTTGCCTTGCATACAATCACTGCTTGGGCTAACCTGTACACCAACCAGAGTTGTACTGACTTAAATAGGAGGTACTGTTCATTGTCTGGCCTTTGGGTCATCTTGCAGAATTGTGGCCAATATAACAAAGCAATCCATTTTTGAGTTTGTTAAACAGTTTACTCAATTAGATGTGGGATGCTCAATTCAGACTGCTCATGCATTTTTCTAATTCCATTCAGAAAATAATTTTGTTCCAAGACCGTTCACAAACATTCATATGACCAAAGTCTGTATACCAAAGCTTTGTATGCATCTTAAAAACAGCAAATTTTGTGCCTTGGGCTAAGCTCTTTTCAGTCAAGATTAGAATTAATTCTGTGACAAAACAGAATTCTTTTGGAGGAAAAGTGGGAGTTGTCTGTAAATGTTTAGGTCATCCAGCCATGGAAGGGAGAAGAAATGCTATGTCACCTTCGCTGACTAGTCATAAAGCTAAAAGAATAAATTCTTGATATTGAAGAATCAGCAAGCTATTCATTGTCACAAGGAATCCAGAGATTAAAAAACTTGTAAGATCTGCTCATAAATTACTTTGTGGCAACCATTAAAAAAAAATCAACATCAGTTCATGAATAAAGAAATTATTTATATATTTATTAAATAAAACAAATTGTTCATAGTAAATAACTTGACTAGCCTTTGTAGGAGGAAACCAAGTTAAAGCTCTTTACAGAGTATTGAACTGCCTTAGCATTCATAACAAAAATGTGTTTTTTCATTTTCTTAATGTAATTTAATAAGGAACTTTTCATCATTAAATACTGTAATTTCATATACTTTATGATGTCATTCCATAAGTTTATAAAAATCCAGTTATTTTATGTAATGTTATTACTGTTCAGGATACATTTTTAAATTGGGCAAAATAGAAAGTAACAATGTTAAAATTACATTACGAAATGCTAAAGAAAAGTAATATAACTATGTAATACAACTGTTTGTTAATCACTACATGAGAATATAAAAGGATAGATCAATAAAAATTCAGCCAGACTTTCATTGGTGTAAATCAAGTAACACCACTGAAGCCACCGTCTTGATAGTCTCATAATAGGGTTTGAAAAATAATAGGGCTAAAAAAATTAGCTCAGAGTTAATAGCTAACAAAAGTAGGCAAGGACTTTCTTGGGCAACATCTTTTACTGAACCAGCTGCATGGTTGGAATACAATTAGACAAGCTTGTGAATACAAAGCATTCTTCATCAGGTGTCTAGAAAAAAAGTAGGAACTTTCAGTTATTTTTTATGTCAGTGTTGTTCTTATTTCATTTCAGTCACTTTAAAAATAGTTCCTTACTGAGAATATATATATATATATATATATAGGCCTTACCTAAGAGATGTGGAATTCTCTTTTTGCATATGCATTCAGGCTGAACTGAGGTGTGTCCATTTTGTTCTATGTTATCGAAATGAGTCTCCTGCTACTGGGAAGCATAAATAAAGTGAGAACTTTCTCTGGACTCTTTCAGGAAAAAATGAAATAGGAACGGGTTCTAAAGATTGATTTTAGCACCTTTGGTTTTTAGACTGTTATGGATAACATAAAATGAATATAAATCTCATTAAATACTAAGATAACAGGTTTTTGTGGTGCATTGAATTCCTTAAGAATTGTACATTGGTGAGGAATAACAAATCTAGAGTTAAATGTTTAGAGCTAAATGTTTAGAAAATTGTAACTAATTACTCTGGGCCAAATTTAGAAATGATGTTAGACAGTGAGGCTCTACTGGAGGCTGTGGAGTATTTTGTCTGTTTAAAATATGTTTTTTAAATTGCAATAAAATCAAGGAAGCTGTAGCTAATAGTTGAACTGATAATACTGAGACAGTAGAGGGTGCCATTTTAACATTCTGTTACACAGGCTAATGACTGGGGAAAAGGGGCTGATTAATTGTTTAACCATGAAAGTTCATACTTTTGCAAATACTGTCACAACTTTTACTTTAGTGTTTCTTCTATGAGTGATTAGGAATATGTGCCCTCCAGACACCTGCCATTTCTATTAGTATAAATTGTTCTGCACTAGCCCAAGGCAATATTAGCCACATTTTAATTTAATGTGGGAATAGTTGATCGTTCCTCCTAAAACTCAGTATGTTCTCTATCACCTTAGACTTAGATTCCTCTGAAGTGTTGTTGATTGCATGACATTTTTGATAAATGTCAAGAGGTGTTTTAATTTAGCTTTAATACAGCCACTTTGCAAAATGGCAAAACTGGCTGATTCCAAAATGTGGTCTTTGGGAAAATGATATATTTGTAGCTTCCAGATCCCCAAGCTACAAATAGAAAACCTTAGCAAACCTTAGCAAACAATTGCTTAAAAAGTTGTGGCTGAATTTTTAAAAAACAGCCAAGAGTTAGGTTTCTTGATCCATATTTAGGTACTTAAATTAATGGTGATAGGAGTTTCACAAGAACTAAAGGGAGGTAGGTGGCCACTCTTGATAAATTCAGGTGTGTTTAGCAGTGAGCCCCCCTTTTTAATCCCTCATTCTCAAAAGTGCTGAGTATCCTACAAAAGCTCTTTTTCACGGTAGTGAAAGCTATTGGGCATATCACACTTGGGCATGGTTATTATATCACATAGATTGGCATGGCTAGTAGACATGATGTGGGATAACGTGCTAGTGTTTTTAACAGAAAATAGAGCTTCCACAAAGTCAGAATTTTCCACGAGAAAATTAAATACTTCAGCAAAATCAATCATTTTCCTTTGGCCTAAGCTCCCTAACCTGTCTGCATCTTCCATAGTGTGTTATGATCTCCCTTATGGCCCATCCACTACAACATATTACAGTAGTTCAGTGATCCTGGACCATCCTGGGAGATGTTCAGATAGGGAGTCAGAAAGAAAGGGGAGAGGGTGCTGTTTTAAAATGTCAGGGAAATGCAGTAGTACAGCAGTCTAGACTAGTGCAGATTAATGTCCAACTAAATTGACCTCAATCAAAATGTTTTGTTTTAGTTTGATAAACCAAAATGATTTTTTTTTTCAGTTTAGGGATATTAAAATATTTCATTTAAGCAATTCTGTGTTGGGCATTTTTTTGAATTTTTCATGTCACAAACACATTAGCTTTCTGTTCTGTTCTCTCCAACTTGGGAAGAAAACATAAACGGTTCCCACAGCATGGAAATGTTATGGGTTATTTAGGTACCCAACATGGATTTACAAGCCTGACTATAACATCCTTTGTTTGACACTTTTGGCCTATGATATGTTACTAGGCTAGATATGAAGCTTTTGTTATACTGTCCACTGTGGACATGCACAGACTTGAAGGACTGTGTATATATCTACAACTGGATTCTTCAAGAGCCTCAAAACAACAAGAAAAATTTCACTAGTAGTCATTTCTATGAAAAGCAGCTCTCACACCTCTGATGACATCTACTGTGCAAGTCTGTGTCTTGCTGCTTTGTGCAAAAGTTCTTATGTTTTTATATTGGGGTGGGTAGGTAAGAGAAACAAAAATAAAGGAGACACATTTCTTATAGAGGCAATTATTATGTCTCTCAACAGGTCCAAAGAACTATAGCAAAACAAATTCAGATGGTAAAGCAGATTGGTAAAGGTCGCTACGGAGAAGTTTGGATGGGAAAGTGGCGTGGAGAAAAGGTAGCCGTGAAAGTGTTCTTCACCACAGAGGAGGCCAGCTGGTTCAGAGAGACAGAAATCTATCAAACGGTCCTCATGAGGCATGAAAACATTTTGGGTAAGTATCATTAAAAGTAGAGATCATGTAGTTGTGCAAATTTTTTTAGTTTAGTCACTTTGCATTCACTACCTCATGTCCTTTTCTTTGGTACCTGCCCCACTCTTCAGTTACCATAAAACATTTCTCATTTTGGGCAAATGGTCTCAAAGCAAGCTATTTTAAAGTTCTATGTGCAATAGAAAATTATTGTATTTGAGAAGGTGTTGTCCCAGCAACAACACATCTAGTTCTGCCACATGTATCTGGGATTTAAAACTTAAAAGGAAACTTAAGACCACTAAATTGACACAAAGCATTGCCAGTGTAAAACTTGGAAGGTAGCTTGAGGATGTTGTTTGCTTAAGGCTCCGTTTTGCACTTTGCAGAGCTCTCCCTAGGGGGCATTGTGGTGCTACACTGCTCCAGGAGGAGCACTGGTGGGATTATACTCAAGAGGCCTGTTTTTCCCCAGGCTGCTGCATGTGTGGAGGGGTGTGGGTAAGGGGAGGAGAGTCATGCATGTATTCCTGTACATGAGCTTGGACATCTGCTCCCTTCATTAGGATAGTGAAAAATTTTTTCTCCACAGCATGATAATCCAGTGCCTCCTCACCCATCCCCAACTGATTCCATCCCTGGAAGGACCTAGGACTAAGTAGGATTTACTGTTGTATTCTTCCCTTACACAAGCAAGGGGCAGAGAATGTCTTTCTATGAAGTCTTTTCTCATCCCGAGCAACCATATCACAAGCTAACCATTACGCTGGAGATTAGACAAACAAGCAGTAACAAACTTTAGCATAAGACATTCTTCACTCAGACACATTGTTGTTGATAGTAATGGTTGTATGGCTCTTTCTTTATGAAGCATAGTGCATATTTTTAACGTGCTGATGCAAGCATGGCTACATGTAGGAATGATGAAGGAAGTTGATTTGTAGCTAAATTAACACAAAGCAGCAGACATACAATTTAAGATTGCAGGTGGTGATTAAAAGCCCTGAAAAACTTGAAATCTTGTCTCTCTTTTTCTTCAGGGTTTATTGCTGCAGATATTAAAGGTACAGGGTCTTGGACTCAATTGTATCTTATCACTGACTACCATGAGAATGGTTCCCTCTATGATTATCTGAAATCCACTACCTTAGATACAAAAGCTATGCTAAAATTGGCCTATTCCTCCGTTAGTGGCTTGTGCCACTTGCACACTGAGATCTTCAGTACTCAAGGCAAACCAGCTATTGCCCACCGTGATCTGAAAAGTAAGAACATTTTAGTGAAAAAGAATGGAACCTGCTGTATTGCAGACCTGGGCTTGGCAGTTAAGTTTATTAGGTGAGTAAAATGAAATGCATTGCTTTGCGTGAGAATTTTGTCCCGTCTTAGATTAGCTAATGTGAGCAGAAATTTTGATTTTTTTCTTTTCTTCTACTTAGTTAAAGGGACAATAAAGAGATATACCAAGTTTCTTTGTGTGGCTGTGCGTATTTGTGAGTGCATTGTTTGTGTACCTATTATATATTTGAGACATCCCTACAATCTACAGTCTATCCTATAGATGAATGTGTGTAGTATAGATGGGTGTAGCCAGCATATAACATGATGCATTTATAAGGAGCTGTTGTGTAGCTAAATGGGTGTGCTAGTTGCACTGGTATATACATTGATGCTACTTAGTAGCAAACTGATCCATGTAACTGCATATTAAACTGAAGAGCCCCAAGACAGGTTGAAGGAGTAGCCTAATATGTAAACCTTTAAGGCTTTCCAATGTCTAAATAACTGCCAGATTAATGCAAATCATTTGCACATGTAACTAAAAGGAATTTATTGAAAAGCACTCTTTTGAGCTGTTCTTTGTTTCATTTCCTACAAATCAAATTGCTAAGGTATAGATTTGATTTTTGAAATGGCTTTTAAATTCAATTTCTAAACATGGCGAGCAGACAAGTAGGACTTCTTTACAAATCCCATGAGTAAGTCATTCATTGCCATCTGACACTTGTTCAGGCTCTTTGCAAGCAGGTTGAGTTTGCAGTCCTGATCCTAATAGAAATGCATGTTCATAATACGGGGGGGGGGAGGTTAGCATAAAAATATGGGTGTGATCTGCAAGTTGCATTTTAAAAAGTCCAGTTTAATTATATTCAAAGATTCTAAACAAGATCTTGTACTGAATTTGTTCATAGTGCAGATACAGCCTTATCTGCTTTTCCCATCAATGTAGTTAGGTTTTACTTTTATGAATGCATTTCTTTAAGGAAGATGAAAGTAATAATGATACTTTGGGGAACAAGTACATAGAATACAACACTTATTAGAAAGATGCCGTTCGGTGCTTTCAGGGAAGCCAGTTTACCATTTACAAATATATATATGTTGCTCATCCTATCTGCTGTAATGGGCCCAGAAGGTATGAATCAGAATTAGAACTAATGATTTGTTGTTTTAGAATAAAACACAGTAGTATAATTCCTTAATTGCAAATGCACTAAAATTCATTTCACATGTTTAACTATTTCTGTTGTTGAGTCCTAAATTTTGCAACACTCAAACAAAACATAATCAGGCATGTATTGAGAGAAAGAAGTAACTTCAGTACAGCTACTTGTTTACTGATTTTTCTTAGAATTTTTAAAATAATGAAGGCTGCTGGATTTACATCACATTTTCTTTAGGAAGTATACAGGTGTCCCAAATGGCACATGCATTAATATCTGTGTAAGCGACCAATTTTTCATCTCTTTAAGGTTCCATTAGATTGGCATTTTAATAACTGTGGGTAGTACTCTATAGATTTTGTTTTCAAATCAATGTAAAATATTTAGTTTCAAAAGCTGGAAAGTGCAGTGCAACTGGCTTTTTTTTTTTTAAATAATCCAGAAATTACTCTTTCTCAAAACCGTTACATCTGACACAGCTAAAGCAGGGTGAATGAGAGAAAAAAATCCAGTCGTGTGTTAAAAGCATCTGTATTTTCTGTTTCTTATGTATTAAATCCGGACTGTTTGCTGCTTTGTCAGCGTGACACAAGATGTGTTTTTCTAGCGAGGTTGCAGGGGTGTAGGTTGTAGCCGTGTTGGTCTAAGGACATAGGCAGACAAGGTTCTTCGGGTAAATCTGGTATCTTTTATTAGACCTGAAGGGTTTTTGAACCCGAAACCTTGCTTAAAAATTGTTCTCCAACTATTTAGTTGGTCTAATAAAAAATATCAGATTCACCCAAAGAACCTTGTCTGTCTAGCAAGGTTGGTCATTATAGCCAAGTGTTTTACACCTATGCAAGGAAAGTTTAGGTGAGATCAAGGGTACTGCAGAAGAAATAGTACCCCTCTCACAGGCCTGATTCAGCAGAGTTAAATGATATTGCCTCAGCTACTTAGTCTCCTCCATTAATTGTTAAGAGGAAAGCATTAGGTGGTGGAATAAGTTAAGAAAATAACATTTAATGAAGATTTGATTGTTATCACCAGCAGTAGAGTTTAGTCTAATGCTAATGAAATCTCGCAAATGTTACCGCATCCCTGTTGAGTCTTATCTCTACTGTGCTTGTGCATTTGAATGCTTAATATAGCCTCAGGCAAGTAAGCCTTTTAAGATGGATCCTTGTTCACACTAAGACGCTTTCCCTATAAGAATTGTTCCATTAAGATTATGTATTACTTTTGACCTTACCCAAGAATGGATTTGGTTTGAATTTTCCTTTTTTCACATCCAAATAGATTTTCAGAGGTGATCATTTCAAGCTGCATTATTACATGTTTGATTCTTCTTTATTTTTTCTTTTAGTGATACTAACGAGGTAGACATCCCACCAAACACCCGCGTAGGAACAAAACGATATATGCCTCCTGAGGTGCTGGATGAAAGCTTGAACAGAAATCACTTTCAGTCCTACATCATGGCTGACATGTATAGTTTTGGCCTTATCCTCTGGGAGATAGCAAGGAGATGTGTATCAGGAGGTAAATGGCAAATACATTGTTTCTCACTAGGGCATGGCTTCTCACTACTTTCATTTATAATCAATAGCTTCCATTACAGCCTTTCTTTCTGGGTAATAGCTGTTGTTGTAATAAACTAACTTGGATAAACACCTAGGCAATCCTAATCATATTAGGTTTCCATTGAGGTTTGGTTTTTTGTTTTTGGGGGTTTTTTTAATCTCAATCAGTCCTAGTTTGACAGCAAAGATTTACACTGTATTTTAATAGGCTCTTTAAAGATGCAGTGGTTCATCACTGTGGTGAGTATTTGCAGCTCATTTACTGGCTCTTTCAAAGCAGTAAACATTTCTGTTAGAACAGGGACACTCTATTGTTTAAGCAGAAAGAAAACAGGAGGATTTGTTTGTTTTTATGGTTAACACGTGATTAAGGCTTAAGTGCAAAGAGGAAACAAACATTATGAAAATGACTCTTGTTCCTTGCATGTCGTCTTTGAAAAAAGCCCACACATTGCTTCCAAGATTGGCAGAAATACACCCAAGACCCAGGAATCAAAAAAGGGGACAAGTGGCACCTATTAAAGCCTGCCATACTCACAGCATACTTATTTTTTTCTCTGACATCTGCCAGCCAAGTATTTGTAGCCTAATCTGGAATTGAATTGTCTGTGTCAATTAAAATTTATCATACAAGAGTCCACCCTCCTGATTGCAGTAATTGCAAGGTTGTCATTAAATAGAGCATTCCAAGATAACACAGTTAATAGCAAGCCTGAGTAAAACAGCACAGCTGTGAACAGACAAGGGAGAGAAAAGCATTATAGAACATCTAGTGTTCACGTGACTTATGCTGTACCATGTGGGGGAAAGACTTGAAGCAGGTGAGACAGGTGTTTTCCCCAGTTAGAAATGCCCTCTTGAAATGTGCAGCACCACAAGTCTTATTTCTTTCATATTCCATTAATGTGTACTTTGTATTTGCATTAGGATATGTAAATCTAGATGATGATGATGACATCCCCTTTTCCTTAAGTTGACTTGTAACCCTTACTTTTTTAGGGTCCCCATCTTACACAGGTAGATCATCCAATTTACTTCACAGTCATTAGTACAAGTCCCCACTTCGTTGTCTACCATGCCACCTAAAATTCTATTTTTCCATTCAAAATAACATCCTGTACTTCCTGAACAATTGTTTGCAGTGTTTCTATTTTGTTCCCTATCAGCTGCTTTCCTACTCTTGTTTACCACTTGTTCTATAGTCTTGCAGCTCTGAGTTACCCATCTGTCACCTACATAAAGCTACAGCCTTATGGTAGCCATAGTACATACCTTGATCCTACCTGTTTATTACTTACTTTCCGGTAAAGCTTATGCCTAAGGGCCTTGTTGCATGGGACACAATACATGATAAATCTGTGCATTATTAAACTTAGAATGTGTTCTGAGCAGTCGCACAGTACGTTTTCTGTGATCTCTAATATGCACAGCTCACTGTTTGTCAGTACCAGCCATAGCACCGCACCAAAATCTTGAACCAGAGCTGATGCAGTGCTTGAACTGGAACCAACAACCAGCTGATTGTCGGTCCCAGCCCTGGCACCAAACCAGAGTCTTGAATCGCCCCTAGTGGAGTGCCAGCTACAGCATCACACACAAGTCTTGAACCAGCTCTGCTGTGGTGCCAGGGCTAGAACTGACAATCAACTGATTATTGGTCCCAGCCCCCACACGGCACCAGTCTTGACCTTGAATTGTCTCCATAGACCAGTCTCATGATGGGCAAACGTGTTACATAGTACAAACTGGAGATACTCCTCTTGAACGCTAGTCCTAGCTCTATGTCCACCTTAGCCTTCCTAACAGTATCTTGGAGATACTCCTCTTGGATGCTAGTCCTAGCTCTGTGTCCGCCTTAGCTTTCCTAACAGCCCCCCTACAGGCCCGAGTAGTGGAGGTATACTCTTCATTGGAGATAGCACCCCCCTTCTACCAGGTGTATGCCACCTTTTTGGCAACCAGGCATTCCCGGACACCCTTGGTGAGCCAGGGAGGCTTTTGGGCACTCTTGCCCGCCTTGCTTCTTGTTGGGATTGTCACCCCTTGGACCCTGAGTATCGTCTCAGGATATTGGATTTCCCCAAAGAAACTTGTCTGCTGATCACACTTAGCACATTTTCCTGCTTGAATATGCAGAGGCTCATGTTTTAAGTGTAATTAACATGCCCTAATCCTATAAGCAAACTACTTACTGAAGGAAGCTACAGCCTTACAATTAGTTTCTGTAGGAAGGCAGCAAGGCTTTCTGTAGGCCATAAGATCCTCCCAATTGAAAGATCAGGGCTTAAGTCCATTTATGTGTATGTTGTGAGGTCCAAATCCCAGATAGACTGCTAGCCGGTAAACAAGAAAACACATCAATAGTTCCCCATCAACTCCTGATTTTATCATAGTGATTTGGGTTTCTTTTGCTTTTGTTACATATTTTTCTCACATGATTTAGTAATAATATCATTTTTAGTGTAGTAACTTCAATTACATTTTACCTTCTTACACTCATCCTGCTGTTCATTTGTAGAAATTATTTTGCTTCCTCACCTAAAATTACAGTAATATTTAGCTCCTATAGAACACTTTATACTGTAGCTCGCAAAGGGCAATACAAAGGAATTTAAATAACATTATCCTTCAGTAGAAAGCTGAGACACAGAAGTGAAGTAATTTACCCATAGTCGCACAGCAGTTTAGGAGCAGAGTAAGAGTAGAGTATGTCTCGATTCAGTGCTCCACCCATCACACTGCTTCCGGAAGAAATACTGTGCATTATTACTGGTGTAGAATGCCTGCTGTATTCTCACCCTAGAAGAGGAGCTGTATTTCAGTGGTGGGTGACCTGATCTCTGTATTTATAGTATATAAAGCCCATTGCATTGCTTTTTTATGAAAGCAATTATAGTAATGTAAACCAACATTATTTATGTAAGGGAAATGGTACAAGGATACAACCATTAATTGTTTGCAAAGTACTTTCTTGATGAGAAGTAGAGTGTTCTACTACAACACTAGAGTATCTGAGATGGTATATTTATTCCCCAATTATGAGTGGAGGGAAGTAAGTACTATTCTTGATGATGACATTGATAAATATAATAAAAAGTATTATTAAGGTTTAGCACCTAGTGATCACTATTAAAAAACAATAATCTGCAAGCAATTACTATACCCAGCATCTGGGCTACTGTAATTACTGGGTATGTCTACACAAGATGTTTACTGCAGAGCTAACTAATTAGTTCCACAGTAAATGTTTCAGCATCTACATGTGCGCCACTTATTAGGGTGCAGTAAATTAATTCACTCTGCTGCAGGTTAGTTCTTGTAAATACAAGCAGTATCTGGCAGTGGAGTTTTTTAGTGCACAGCAACACATGTTTAGACATATACGGGGCTGGCTGGGGCATGAGAGTGCTTCAGTGCAGGGGCTGCCTGCTGGCTAGCGCCTCACTAGAACACCCTCATGCCCCAGCCAGCCCCTCCTCAGCACATTGAGCCAGGTTGGAGCAGACCAGGGCTGACAGGCTGACCCCCCCGAGCTCCCTTCCAGCCAGGGCTGCTCTGACCTGGCTCAGTGTGTTGCGGACCCAGGCACAAGTTCAAATGCAGTGCTCAGGAGCAATAAGCTCTGGTGCAATATGCACCAGAAAATACAGAAAAATACACAGAAAATACCAGAAAAATACACAGCGGGTATCTACATGTCCTGTTAATGCGCAGCTATAAGCTCTGGTGCATATTGCAGTATGCACCAGAGCTTATAGCTGCTCATTAACAGGACATGTAGATGTACCTGCTGTGTATTTTTCTAATAGGAGAATTAGGCACATTTTCAGTTTTTTAATTCTTATGGTTTGGAGGGAGAAAGGGGTGTATGTATCAATAAAATGATTTTGTGTATAAAGACCATTTACTAGAAAGGACTGATTTGGCATGGGGATTTCCCCAGTATCTTCTGCAACATACACCAATGCAAAGGGGAGTTTGTTTAGCTGTCTGCTGTTGTCTTATCATCCCTGAATTCACCTTTTATACCCTGGTCGTCCCACTGATTCTCTAGCTGGCTTCCTGCTTCTGGTATATTTTTTATAAGTTTTTATTATTAACTTTAGCATCTTTTACTAAATGCTCCTCAAATTCTTTTCTAGCCTGCCTTATTTCACTTTTACATTTGACCTGCTAGAGTTTGGGAGCTTTCCTGTTTTCCTCATTTGGGCATGCCTTCCATACTTTAAAGGATCCCTTTCTGCCTTGAATGCCCTTCTTACCTCTTCCATTAAACCATGCGTGGGTTTTATTGGACTGTTTTGTATCCTTTTTTATTTGTGTGATACTCTTTTCCTAAGCCTTTTTAAACAGCTTCCAAGCTACTTGCAGGTCTTTTATGTTTTTGTCTGCTCTTTTAAACTTCTTTCTACCTAACTTCTTCATTTTCGTATAATTTCCCTTCCTAAAGTTATGTATTAGAGTGGTTTTCCCAGGTGTTTACCCAGTCTATACATTTTGTCTTTGCTCAGCTGCCTGTTACTGCTCATGCTATTTGTTTGACACTATAAAAAATATAACTTATCTTCACTATTATCTACAGTTATACTTTTTATTCCCCTACTGTCTTCCTCAACACAGTATAGAGTCTACATGATGGTCCCCTTTTGGGGTTACATCAACCCAGTCTGTGTGGTCTTCTATACCCATCAGCTTTCCTCCACTTTTTAGTTTAAAAACTGCTCTATGGCCTTTTTAATCTTTAGTGCCAGTAGTCTGGTTCTGTTCTGGTTCAGGCGAAGCCCATCTTTTCTCCGTAGATTCCTCCTGTCCCAAGAGTTCCCCCGTTCCTGATAAACCTAAACCTCTTCTCCCGACACCATCATTTCATGTATGCATTGAGACTGTAGAGTTCTGCCTGTCTCTTGGACCCAGCGTGTGGACTGGGAAGCATTTCAGAAAATATTACTGTGGAGGTTCTGGACTTTAACCTCCTGCCTAGCTCTAGGACCTCTCTCCTACACTTCCCTATGTCATTGGTACCCACATGGACCATGACCAGAAGCTCCTCCCCAGTATTACATGTGTGTGTGTGTGTGTGTGTGTGTGTGCGCGCGCACGCGCGTGGACAGAGTGGCAGAGACCATTCTACATTTAGGGGCCTGCATTGACTGAAGTTGACACTGGGACTAAAGTTCTCATGGATGAGAGATTGATTGGATTGGACAAAGACTTAACAACCAATGATTGGTAACATCTAAGTTGGCACTGCATTTATGACCCAAATACCTTGCTCCAGGCATACCCAAACTGTGAGACTGACCATGACCTCTCCGTTCAATAATAGGTGAATTTTATTGATACACAGTGATAAAAGATATGTGCAAACAATTCTATATTTACCAGCCCCAGGCTTCGCTGAGTTAAGGTACGGCTGGCCAGCATGCAAGCTTCGCTCTGAGGTTCTCTCTTGAATGTCAGATGTCAGCAGCCTAGAGGTCAAAGGCCAAAGCCCACCCCCCACAGTGGCATGGGTGAGATGAGCTGGTGGTGTGCCCTCTGTCCATGGTGGTCTCAGGTTCCCCGCTCAGGGACACTTTGCTGCTTTGAAATCCCTTCTTTTATATTCTTTCTCTCCTCTGATGACTCTGTATCTCTGGGCTTTATTGATTGGTCTCTCTGTGGTCATAATACCATCTACATTCTGTCCTGTCAGTATATTCCTTTGTTTCACAAACCCATCACATGTACACATCCTAATTTGGGCTTTTACTAGTGTCCTCCTAATTCAGTCCATTTACCAAAACCGGAAATCCCAATGGCCCTGCAGTTGGGCACTGTGACCTAGCCAATGCATAAGATTCCCTTATGAAACACGGTTATGAAACACTGTGGTGCATGTCTTCAGTTTCCCTGCCTGTGTGTGTGTCTGCTTGCTGCTTGCCTGTGTCAATCGCAGTAGGCCTTGAAGGAAACTTTGTCACAAACAGGCTTTAGAAATGAATTAACCTTTGCTGTTCCCCTGAACCATTGTTCTAACGCAATATCTACTTTACCTACAAGCCAATTCCCAAAAGCAAACCTCAGAATACCATTTTCTAACTATCACATCTAGCCCTGTGTGTGGAATAGAAAGCATTTCAGAAAATGCTACTGTGGAGGTCCTGGACTTTAACTTCCTTCCTAGCTTTAGGACCTCTCTTCTGCATTTTCCTATGTCATTGGTATCCCCATGGACCATGACCACCAGCTTCTCCCTAGTATTACGTGTGTGTGTGTGCAGAATAGCAGAGACCGTTCTATGTTTAGGGGCCCACATTGACTGCAGTTGACCCTGGGGCTAAGGGCTTATGGATGAGAGATTGACTGGGTTGGACAAATGGGGCTTAATACCCAATGACTGGTAACATCTGCAAGGCTAGGGCATGGCTCCAGGGGCATCAGAGCCATCCCGGGGGCAGTACCCTGTTACAGTTATTCACTGGGATAACTCATCATCACATCATCTTATTGTTCAGTGCACTGCATTCCCACCAGAGTCTTATTGATTTGTATACGACACACTTCGGCTAATTCATCATCTGGTACCATGTAATTCTCCGTTTCTTTATACAAACACTAAATCATAAAGCAGTTTTCTCCAGATAACTAGTTGACTTAGAAGTTACAGATTTATGCCTTTTATGGTACCTGTTGAGCAAACTGATGCTTGCTAAGCATTGGATAGTTATCACCTTTTCTTTGTTCAACAAAACATAGACAATGAGCAGACATGTTGCAGAAATATTTTCTACTTTACTGCTGAGTGAACAGAATCATGAAGAAAAATCTTTGGTTATCTTCTGTCATAATCTTGTAATTATTATATGGTGAGCACCAAATTTTTATAGTAAGAAATTATACATTAAGTATTTACCTGTATAATCATGTGGTTCTCAAGAAGAAAACTAGAGTGCATACAATTTGTACTCTGTATCTTTAATTTTTTTTCCTTCATTATAAATGTCAAAAATAATTCTTATTTTATCTCAATTTGGCATGCAAAACTAACAACTGATAGTGATGGATAAATAATTATCACCATCAGTCTCCTGGGAGTGACAAACCTGATTTTACTATATATATTATTTTCCTATTTTCAAAATGAAAATGTTGTTATTTTAAATGGGAAAATGTCCCAAATTTTTAAAAAGGTTAAACAAGTTTAAACAACATGAGAACAAAACAAAACATTTTGGGTAGAGGCAGTCAAAGAAAATGTGTCAGGTTCAATTGAAATGTGTTGTTTTTTTTATTCTCCTGAAAATATTTGTTTCCACTTTTTGTGTTTGGTCACAGAACCAAAAAGTCCAGAATTCACCTAGCCTTAGCCTGTTGATATAGCTGACATTAGTAAGTAGTACAGTGATATTCTCAGTGGCTGCCAGATAAGCTCTCTGTCTGCTCCTAATATATGGACAGTTCTGTTAGTAATATGTGGCTGCCTATAGATGTGCTTATTCATGTTCTAATTAAAATGCAAATGAACAGACTCAATCAAGTCTGCTCCACTTTCTAAATACAGTGCTCTAGCATCACCTCAGCATCACATGCATTAAGCCCCCATGCTTTTCAAAATGGCTGCAGGGGCACTCTAACTAAAGCTCATCCAATGAGCTTCAGTTAATGCATCCCACAGTCATTTTGAAATGCAGGGGAATGTAATACATGTGACAGTGAGTCATTTTAATTAGAGTGGCTGCCTAGGAACTGCTCTAATTAAAATGGCCCACCTCCAAGCACGTGTATAGGCAGCCACATGGCTTATGGGGCTAGTGGTTTCATCATCAGTTGGGAGAAAGACAAGTATTTTCTCAAGTGACAAGGTGAACATAATCGTTCACATTTTGACACTTGGTTTAACCTAGCAATAAAAATTCTAATCTTGGAGCTTGATAATGGAGTGAATTGTGGATTCCCATTCTGGGACAGTGGGGATTTGGGAGTTCTTTCGGAGGAGATGCTTTTCATCTCAGATAGAAATGTGTGAGTATCTTGCCTCCCATTGTACCCCTTGTCACAGCACTTACGAAATACGCTAAGAACCACCTTAGACAGATGAGTGTCTGAAGGAAGAAGGGCTGGAAAGCAGAAGCAGCAGTTAATTGATTCCAGTGAAGAAGTGGAAGATGGGGGAGTCATTCTGTGCTTGGTGTGTGGAGGTTCAGCCACATGACAACAAACAGCAACAGGAAAGGGCCAAAACTAACTCCAATTCCAGAATGAAGTGCTACACTCTCTATTCTCCTGCTTGAATATCTGAAGGAACTCCCGTGGCTAAGAGGAGAATGGAACTAAAATGAAAACCATTAACATACGTGATATTGCACAGCTGTTGGCTGCATAAAGAAAGTGCAAAATGTTATGAACAGTTAAAATGGAGAGAAATGGGGTAGTAGAACACGTGGCCTCTTGTAGTTATAATGCAGCTGGAAAATGTGTCTTTCAGGGATTGTTGAAGAGTACCAGCTTCCATACCACGATCTAGTGCCCAGTGACCCCTCATATGAGGACATGCGTGAGATTGTGTGCACCAAGAGGCTTCGTCCCTCATTCCCAAATAGATGGAGTAGCGATGAGGTAAGATATCCTTTAAAATACAGTGGCTTATATGCTTAGGATCAGTTTGGGCCAAAGGCTGTGAAGATTTAGGTAAGAATAAATGGACAGAATTTCCCAAAATGTTATCCCTTGGCTTTAAACCATACTGTTAGGGGCAATGGAAATCTTACCATTGACTTTAACTCCGTTTACTTCTGTGCCAAGTATTTGGCATAGTGGGCTAAATTCCAAAAACCTGAAGCCACAGGTGGTCAGGGCCCCTGAGGAGCTGGCTTGAAGTATTTTCAGAAAGATGTGTTATGTTTATATTACCTACTGGAAGAACATAGCAGAAGCTGAATGCACTCAGTCTGTATGTTATAGCTCTGTTCTTCTCTTACACTTCTCTTCCCTTTCATGTCAGGATCAATTTTGTTAAATTGATCTATATGCAGTGTACTAGTGACAACATCAGCATGTGTTTGTATTAAATCAGAGCTACAATTCTGATTAGCCCTTTTTTTCAAGAGCATTGCTTCTGTTGCTATGGAAGCAAATTGGTGTATAGCATTTGCCTGTAATCACAGGTGTACAGACCTAGAAGCATGATTCTAGTAAGCTTCACTTTGCTATTTGCATGCAAGACTACAACATAGTAAAAGAAAAGTGTTACACGGAACTCACTCCTACAATATAAAATACCTCCCTCTGCACCTAAATGTAGGAGTGAGAATATGTGTCTTATTCAAAAGATGATAGCTTGGAAACTGCTTTCCAAGGTAAAGTAGCATTTTTTTGATGAAATAAAGTTTTGAAGGCAGGAGAAGGTCTGTGCTCTTTCCACTGAAAATTTATAATGAAGCAAAACTGTGTTTTGGAATCAGTAGACCAATAATTGATGAACCACAGACAAACTTGCCAACTGCTTTGGTGATGCTGTACAGAGGTCATTAATCTTGTTAAGTGGTACTGTGTAATGCTATTATTGTAGCAGACAGCTGTGATTTGGGAATAGCAATGTTTGCATGAGTATTCTGCAATTAACTAAAAGATTTAAACTACAAGAATTGTAAACAATCTGGGAGTGTCAAATGAAAAGCACACATGCATATACACACACAAACTCTCTCTCTTTCTCTCTCTTCCTTTCACCTTACCCTTGGAGATAAGAACATTTGTTTAATGTAGTGGGGGAACTATTTGAGAACCCCATACCTATCTTTCACTGCCACTGACCACAATCTAAAGGGAACTTCATTTTGTGTCCCATGTGAATGTACCAAAGAGCTCTGTTTTAGTGCAGATGCTTAGAAACTAAAGCATGGGGAATAACTATATTCTGGCTATATTATGGCACGTAGGGTGCTTGGCAGGTTGTTGAGTTGGCTGTTTAGCAAGTGGCAAAACCAATACATTATTGCACACAGCCGTGTGTTACTAATACCTTTTATCTAAGTCAGTTTCAGAAAAAAGACTGCCTGGCTGGTTTTAGCTAGGCTAGTTGAGTTCAGATGAATAGTTAATGAAAGCTGTTGTGATTTCATGTTCATATTTGTTTCATTCCATTCTTCCTAATATCTTATAGAATAGATGCATGAAGGTGGTGAAAAACACTATGATAGAGAACACACTCCCTAACTTCCTCCCAGGCTAAATCTTTTAAATCCATAATGATTTTCCCCCGAAAATCCTTTACAGCCTTAACGTGTATCAGTGAGTTTGTTTAAAAAAATAGTTGGTTATGCTACAGCAATACAGTTTTCCACAAGTTTAAATTCTGAGGGACCTTATGCAAACACAATGATCTTCACTCTGGTGAAATGGCCTACATCAGGGGTTGTCAACCGGGGGTAGGCATAACCCCGGGGGTACTCTACATCTCCCTTCACTATAGTAGAAGCTGTAGCTTGTCCCAAATAGGCTGTCATAGAGGAAATCGCTGTTGCAGGTAGGAGAGCGTCTCGCAAATCCAAGTATACTACGGTAATGAGCTTTGAATGGGATAGACTTGTGTGACTGAGAAATTCTGCACGAGGGCTCTGAGGACCAGCTGCCATTCCAGCTTGAAAGTTGGAAAAGTTACTACATTTGGGTTGTGCTGAAGCCATGGGGACCTAGCGCAGAGTAAGAAGCGTGAATTCTCAGAGAAGTTTTCCTCACTGGCTTGAGCATGGGAGGTGGAAAAAGTGCAATTGTGATTATTTTATCTGTTAGCAAAATATGGCATCCGGTTTGTCATAAACATTTAAACACATCAGCATGTGTGCTGAGGATGGCCATTAATATACAGAAAATAAATGCCACCCAAGGTGTTTGTGGGCTCTTTGCTTCCTGGCACCCAGCATTACCTTTAAAATAAATTTGGTTTGCTTTGATTTTTTAGGATAGTCATCAACACCAGTCTTGCCTTCAACTGACCCAGATATGATTCTTTGTTATCTTTTCTTTCCATAGTGCCTACGACAAATGGGAAAACTCATGACAGAGTGTTGGGCTCACAACCCTGCTTCCCGACTCACAGCCCTGCGAGTAAAGAAAACACTTGCCAAAATGTCAGAATCACAGGACATTAAACTCTGATTCAACAAAAGACATGTCTTGCAAAAGCCCATACCGTGGACTTTCCTTTACAGTCACAGGACAGAAAAAAGAATCAAAAGACCTCAGTAATATGTTCCTTGCACACAATCGTACTTCAGAACAACTATAGGTTTGGCTGATAGCTTTTGAGGAGAGTATCCTTTGCAAAATCAGCAGAGTTTGTGATATACAAGATCAGAAGAGGCTCATTTGCCCTTGTTTACTTTGGGAAATACAGTTTGAATAACTGGTTCAAGATTATGCATGTTGCTTTCTGTGAAAGCTCATGATAATTATTATTATTATTATTTTATTATTATTATTTTTTGATTGTTTAAAAAAGATACTGCTTTAAATTTTATGAAAATAAAACTTTTGGTTAGAATTAAAAAAGACTTATATTATTACATTAAAAATTCAGAAGAAACTGTGCCTGAAAATTAAAACAAAGAGACTATTTTTTTTCCCCATTTTTGAAAACTATTGCACTCCAACAAACAAATAGAGAACAGGCTGTGAAGTTAAAAAAAGCTGTAATGGAAACTGTCTTAAAAGCCACCTACCTACAGAGACCACTTTCAAAGCTGCACGTATCTGAGTTTTGATCTCAAATTGTAGCTATAGCCTGGTTAGAAAGATTGCCTGTGTAAAAAGACCACTCTCCTGAATTACTGCAGGTGGCCTTTCACAGGCAGAACTTGCTATATTTCTGATACTCAGAAGCCATAGAGCAAAAGCAGTTTTGCGTGACTTTTTTTTAACGTTCTTCGTGCTTCTGGTTCTGTTGTGGGGCTGTCTTGGACAAGGCTATAGGATGGTAGAAAAAAGCACACTCTTTTCTAGCATTTTTTTCACTGAAAAATAAAGAATTTTTGTATTGATGGGAACGAAAGGAACAGGCTTGCTAAAGCATGAGTTTAGAACTTCTTGTTAGTTTTTTATTTACCAGAGAAATCACTGGAGAGTGAAACTGCTAGAAACCACATATGAAAACATTGCCTGGCAGAAAGATGTTGTATTGTAAAATGAACATAAGGAAGGATTTGAGTTCTTCCATTCATGAAAAAAGAAGACGTTTTCACTCAGGTTTGTGTTTCGTGTATTCTGGGTTCTTTTTAGCAAGTGAACGAAACACGAACATTTTGAAGGAGGAAAAAAAAAAAGGCCCACCTATAGTGGGATTGATCCTTCTTTAAATGTATTGGGTTTACTTAATTACCTGTTGATGGTAAAGACTGACAAGAAGGAGCTGCTGATAGTTTTCAAATTTTGTGGTTGAGATTTATGTATGCACTATTGGGCTTCATGCTGCATTCCTCTTTCAACCAAAACTCCCACTGAGGTCAGTGGGATAAGTGAGGGATGAGGAATTTGGTCCAAGATTTCTCCCATTATAGTGAGAGTTGTTTTTTGTCCACATAAATGGAGAATGTTGCCTTTTACAGTTGTTAATGAAGAAATATTCTGTGATTACTACTCAAAGGAACACTAGACCATTGGGATAATATTTTTGCTTTGGATTCTTTCTTGGTGTCATACATAAAAGACTGTTGAAATCACTGTTTTACTCTGACTGTTATCAGGTGCTATCACTACCCCCCCACCCCAAAAACCTCCACAGCTTTATATGCATATGAAACTATATTCTAGTGCCCCCTACTGCAGTCTCCAAAACTGCTCTCAAGTACTTTGATACGTTCCTAACATTCATCTAAAAGTTGAAATTTCTGGCATTAGGAAAGTTTGGAAATGTTGTAGCTTTTTTTTTTTTTTTACATTGTTTTGGGTAACTGAAGGCATTGGAAGAAAATTAACAAAAAACCCAAAGGTGATGTTTTAAAAAATGAATGCCTAAAATTAGGCTCCTAAATCTGTATTTTAGATCCTTAACCAAAATTGTTGTGCACCCAACAGTTTCCATTATATTTTTGGTGTCCTTAGGTGGTCAGCACCTTTGGAACCCACCATTTAGTTTTCAAGAGCCATTTAGGCACCTGTTTCTGAAAATCTTGACATGATGTGTTAGCCAGCTCTTTAGTTTAAATGGCTTTTGCAGTCACCTCTCAGGCTTTAGGAGACCGGGTTTAGTCATAGGACTACCACAGGACTGTGGGACTCGCCAGTCATGGTAAATTCATAGGGAAAGGACTTTCTAAAGCATGACTGTAGTTTGACATATATTCACCAGACTCGCTTACTGATTTCTTTCCATGGATATAGGGGATTATAGGAATGCTTGAAATTCATTAGTTGGGAAATGATAGATTACACAAGGGTGCAATACTCTGTGTGAAGCATTTTAGTTGGGACAGTTACTGATTCTTCTATTTTTCCTCAAAATTTTGTCAAAGCTCAGCTGAAAAAGGGGAAACTACCTGACCCCCCTTTTTTGTCTGTTTTCCTTTTTGTCTCTTGTTTTCTTAGGCTGTGTTCAGTTTTGTTTTGAAATAATTGTTGCAAATGCTGCTTTGATTGTGTAAGCCTTCTTCAGAGTCAAAATAATTGACATGCTAGATTTATCCTCACCATTCATGTAGAACTTTTTTTCTCCCTTTTCTAGACAAAACTGATTTATTTATGGTACCTAGGTAAATGTAATTGGTGTTCAGCTTCACTGCTCTCTTGAAGGTATTTATAGGTTGAAAAATTACCATTTTATACTTTCAGGCTGATACAGAAAAATGTGCAAGGTTCAAGATAGTCAGTGAGACGTCCAGACTGGGTGTTTAAAAGTTTGAGCAGAGGAATTTAAAAAATGGTAAGCATTTTTTTGAAGTTTCTCTGGCTGTGCCTCTCTACAGAGTAAGGAACTCTCACCCAGGAATAATAATAAACACAGAAGAGATTCTCCAGGAATTAATAATTAATTTCTGACCATAATTAGACACATGACTCTTGTTGACTTCAGCAGCCATACTTTAAAGGTCCCCAGTGCACTGAGTCTGGAGACTTCTACTATAAATCATCCCTTTTTTGGTGATTAGATAATGGAGGTTAAAAATGCAAACCCCTTAATGAATATCTTCCACATTTGAGGGAGTGAAAAGAGAAAGGAGATGAATTTGTAATTGCCCACATTATAGGTGGGAGTCCCCACATTGACTGGAGGACAACAAATCCTCATAGTGCTGTGCCTTACCAAATCACAGCCGTCCTGAAGAGCTTGTTCTGGTGAAGTATATGGGAACTTGTTACAGAGTGAGCAAATACCTGAGTGTCAAGTTCTTTCCCTGCCACTTCTGCAATTGTGGTGTCACTCTAGTGAAGTGGAACAAGTTATTCCCAATTTTACACTTCAGTAAGAACCACCTCAGATGCTCCCTGGAAAAGGGATTAGAAGATGATCTGGGGTGATGAGGCTGAACACTCTTATTCTTAAAACTCAGGGGGGTTCATCCCAGTAGTCTCTGCTCAACTATTTCCTTGGTAGATGTCTCTTCTGCCATGGAAATATCTCTTAGTGCCTGCGTATTTCTTTCCTTTTTGAAGGAGGGCAAATTCCTGGGGTCAATTCCTGCATGTTTCACTCGTCACCACTGTGGGTTTCTAGCAGGTAAACCCTGTATTGCAGAGATGAAAGCTGGAAGATCACATTTTCTAGCAGTCATAGTTTAGAGGTTTTCCTTCTCCAGTTTTCTCCAATAGAGGGACATGTGCATCCCTCTTATATTATAGTATCCTCGTTTCTTGTTGTTTTAAGAGCTCTCTAGATCACTTCTACCCCTTATTTATTTTCCTCAAACACATTTTGAAAGATCTAAAGTACATTTGTTTTGGTGACAGGCAAGTGCAGTGCCAGCTCACTGTTTAGCAGGTTTAAATCTTCAGAGCATACTGAAACAGATGCCCTTCACACGTGTCAGAAAGAAGGCATTGTTTCAGTCAGTTGTTGATGGTCCTAATGTGTTTTAGATGCATGGATGTTAATGTTTTGTTCCTGAAATAAAGGGATTCTAAGATAACAGTTGGTAGGTCATATAGCGTTTGTATGTTAAGATGTTCAGGTTTATATGTTATATATATATATATATATATATATATATACACATACACACACACATATACATATATTATATATTTATATATATATATATATATATTCAGTTGTGATTCTGGAATAACTCCAGTATGTTGTTTAAGAGTAAAATATTATGGAAGATAAAGCACTAAATGAAACAAAGTATTTATTTATGAAAATGCAGAAACTGACAAATCACAGCAGCAGTGCCATATAGAGAAAAAAGGATATGAAGTGACACAGCTGAATTTACATAGGCTCTGCTATAATGTACCTGATGTCTGTGTTGTGATTCTGGAATAACTCCAGTATGTTGTTTAAGAGTAAAATATTATGGAAGATAAAGCACTAAATGAAACAAAGTATTTATTTATGAAAATGCAGAAACTGACAAATCACAGCAGCAGTGCCATATAGAGAAAAAAGGATATGAAGTGACACAGCTGAATTTACATAGGCTCTGCTATAATGTACCTGATGTCTGTCTCACTTTTCCCTCTCACTCGAGAGGCCAGATTTTGACCTCAATCTCATATTAACCCAATTCAAGTCAGTGCTGTTATAGAGGATGTCCTTAAGGACAGAAAATGGCTCAGATCATTCTTTTGTAAGCAATTTGTTTTAGAAATGTGGCATTTGAGTTCCCATGTGCATGGTTAATTTTATGCAACACTCAGACTGTGATTGCTAAACTGCCAATGTTGCCACATGTGCAGACTTAAACTGTTCAGAATGTAACTTCCAGTTTTAGTGAGTTCAGAGCCCACCTTGATTATGGCTTACTTTGCTCCCATAGATTTCAGTGATAAGGATTTCAGTGCAAACAGGATTGAGACTCTGTTTTTCAAATGTAAAGACACTGAAGGAAATGTAGGTAGAGAATTCTTTGCGTAGCAGTCAGAGTGGGAGAGGAAAAATTCAAGAAAAAATAATGTTTAACAACTGCTTTCCCTTCTCTAGCACAATGTTATTTCTTTTGAAGAAAGTTTGACAATGTAAAGATTTTTACAAAAGACTAATTTGTGTTCTTTTTTGGGAACCAGTGCCTTATTAAACCTGTAAATACTGTAATTATAAGAACTAGGGAGCAAACTGTTATATTGTACTTGTTCAAATTGTATACGGCTATTTTAACATTCCCCTAATAAAATGGTTTCAGCCTCCCCTTAAAAGAATCCTTTC